CTGCTTCTTCCTTATATGCTTTTCTTAGCTTATTATATACTCACTTGTTATTAACTATTGTCTATTTTGCTCCCACACTAGAATGTCAGTTCCATGAGAGGAGGGACTTAGTTCATGGTTTCTCTCACCCAGCACATGGACAGTGTATGGCATTCAGTAAATGCTCAATAAATATTTTCTTAGACATTTGAAATTGATATATAATTCACGTTATAAATTTATTCTTTAAAAGTGTATAATTCAATGTTTAGTATATGCATGACGTTGTAGTACCATCACTACTATCTAATCTCAGAACATTTTAATCAGGACCACAGAAACCCCAAACTCATTCACAGTCACTCCCTATGTTTATTGCAGCACATTTACAATAGCCCAGATATGTAAGCAACCCAAGTACCCATCAATAGATGACTGGATAAAGAAGATGTGGTACATATATACAATGGAATATTACTCGGCCATAAAAAGGAATGAAATCTTACCATTTGCAACAACATGGATGGACCTAGAGGGTATTATGCTAAGTGAAATGAGTCAGAATAAGAAAGAGAAATACCATATGGTCTCACTTATATGTGGAATCTAAAGAACAAAGTAAACAAACAACAGAAACAGACTCATAGATACAGAGAACAAACTGATAGTTGCCAGAGAGGTGGCTGGTTGGAGAGCTGGATGAAAAAGGTGAATGAATTAAGAAGTACAAATTGGTAGTTAGAAAATAGTCATGGGGATGTAAAATACAGCATAGGGAATACAGTCAATAATGTTGCAACAACTGTGTATAGTGCCAGGTGGGTACTAGATTAATCGGGGGGATCACTGCATAAATTTTATAAATGTCTAACCACTACACTGTACAGCTTAAACTAATATAAAATAATATTGAATATCAAAAAAATTAAAAAATAGAAATGAGCAAAGGGTTTGAACAGACATTTTTCCAAAAAAGATATACAAATGACCAATAAGCACATGAAAAGGTACTCAGCGTCAGTAGTTATTAGGGAAATGCAAATCAAAACTATGAGATACTACTTCACTCCCACAAGGATGTGGAAAAATCAGAACCTTTATACATTGCTGATGGGACTATAAAATGGTGCAGCTGTTTTGGAGAACAGTTCCTCAAAATTTAAACATTGAGCATCCTTATAAACATTGTTTTGAGCTCTGTATCTAGTAGGTTACTTGCCTCCATTTCATTTAGCTCTTTTTCTGGAGTTTTGTCTTGTTTTTTCATTTGGAATGTATTTCTTTGTTTCCTCATTTTGGCTGTCTCTCTGTGTTTGTTTCTATGTGTTTGGTAGATCTGCTACATCTCCCAGTCTTGGCCAGGCGGCTTAATGTAGTAGGTGCCCTGAGGGGCCTAGTGGCACAGTCTCCCTGGTCACCTGCACTGCGTGCTCCAGTAGTGTCACTTGTGTGGGTTGTGTGTGCCCTCCTGTTACAGTTGAGCCTTGATTGCTATTGGCATGTCAGTGAGTGGGATTGACCTTCATGCCGATTGGCTGTGGGGTTTGGTCATGGCCAAAGTTTATGGGCTGCTGTGTGGATGGCTTATCCTGCAAAGTGGGATTTGTCCCAGTGGGCTCTAGTGCCTGCTGAGACTACCCTTTGTGTATGCCTCATGTGAGACTAATTGAGTGGTGCTCTGCTGTGGTCTGAAGCCAACTTCCAGGTATGTTGGTTCTGGGGCCTCTTGGGAGGGGTTGCAGTGAAGGGCCAGGTCAGCGACTGCCTGTAACTGGTGGAGGACTATTTGGTAGGAGCTACAAAGTGATCAGTGGCTGGTTGCTCCTTGTGCTGGACCTGGAGATGCATGGGAGAGGACACACTGCAAACTGAGGATGGCTGTCACCAGTATTTGGTCTGTGGTAGTTCTGTAGAAAGCACAGAGCACTCCAAGGGCTTCTAATGCCTGCCAGCTCCTGTAAGACTCAGCTGCTGATAGAGTTGGGTGAAGCAATATCTCAGGGAGTCACCAGGGTGGAGCAAGCAGGTAGTGTGAGCAGAGCTCACCAGGCCAATGCAGATTCAGTTGTGGCCATGTGAGGGAGGGCTCAACACAGGAAATATGGCATCCAGTTGCCCACTGCACAGAAGGAGGATTCTACACAGGGAAAAATGGTGACTGTCTGTCCTTACCCTGAAGCCAAACAACTCAGCCTCTCTCTGTATATCTCTGACTCCTCCAGAGTCATTTTACCTCCTCTGGAGCCCACAATGAATGCCTGAGAGTGAGTCTGTGCATAGACCCTTTAAGAGGATGTCTGGGTTCCCTGCAGCCTTTTATCTCACCCAGAGGGACAGAATCCCTGCTGATTTTCACAGCCAGATGTTGTGGGGGCTCCTCTTCCCAGCACTGAGAGAGCCCGGTGTGGGGCTGGGGTCCGTCACTCCTCCAGAGGGTACCCCAGTGGCCATGATATCCCTTCTGATTCTCAACCGCGACATGCCGGTGGGGGACCAGCCTGTTTCATGGCTCTGCACCTCCTACCAGTCTCATTATGGCTTCTTCTGTGTATTCTGAGTTATAGGACTTCTGTTCAGCTAGATTTTAGGCAATTCTCGGTGATGGTTGTTCTATAGTTCAGTTGTAATTTTGATGTGGTCGGGAGAAAGGAAGCAAGCACAGCGTATATCTACTCCACCATCTTGGATCCTCCCTTGCCCTTTTGCTCATTTTGAAATCGGGTTATTTAAGTTTTTGTTATTGAGTTGCAAGATTTCTTTATGTATTTTGTATATCAGATACAAGATTTGCAAGTATTTTCTCTCATTTTGTAGATTGTGTTTTTCACTCTCTTGATGGTGTCCTTTAAAGGACAAAAGTTTTGAATGTTGATGAAGTCCAGTTTATCTATTTTCTCTTTTGTTGCTTATGGTTTTGGCTTCATATCTAGAAAACTACTGTCTAACCCAAGGTCACAAA